TGCTCGGTTGTCGGGTTCGTCACTTGACCTCTGTTCGAAATTACGAGGATCTTCGCCATTAACACTCGTGCTGTTTTGTAGTGCGGCTCACCCACTCATTTCTAATTTAAATGATTTCTTTAAAGACGCAACACTTAAATCTATCTAATCTAATAATAGCTTATCTTTTATACAAATTACATTTCAACCGATGTACGAATTTTTAAGTTGTGTCACGAAAATCGAAATTATTGTTTTGTTATCAAATGCCAACACTATAGAAACCAATGGAATGAGATTGCTTATAAGCGTCAACCCGAGAGCTATTGGTGACGGATCTTGAAATTTTGAGGTGTGGTGTTGAGTGACGTGGACGACACCTGAGCTAGCACCCCCTCTGACCAGATTTCTACGCCCACGTGAGGACTTTGAAAGTCTGTTGATTAAACTGGCATTAGTCCCTCTATTCTGATGGGTCTTAAGTGGCGCGAGGACGCGAACTCATGACTCTACAGAAATAACGCCATCTATTAATTTTGGGAGCCCTCGGCGAAGCCAATTTTGGCAATTGGAACCGGTCGCCAAACAACTTAATTTAGCGATAGGTGTTCCGAGAATTTATAAAAAAGAAATTTTGCAATGAAAATAAAGAAATATTAATGAGAAATAAAATTTTTTTTTTATTTCGCCAGAGTTTATTATTTCATTTTTCAAATTGACTTTTCCCCAAGAAGCCCACTATTTTACACTTTAACCAAACACAGACATTTATTCTTAACTCAAATGAGGTAAAATAGACTTATTCGGTATACAAGTCAAGAGATTTGATTGAGAAGGCGTTGTGTGTGGAATGCTAAACCCTAAAATTGCACGATTCCAGTGAGCACACCATTAGTAGGGCCGTGGGTAGCCTAGTGGTTAGAGCATCGGACTCCAGATCGGAAGGCATGGGTTCGATGCCCGATGCCTGTCTCTCGAGTACACGAATTACGTGCTCGTTAAATCAGTGGTCCGAAAGTCTTGTGGGCGGTCACAGCTGAATCCACGAGTGCAGAGCTGGAGAATATTTCCCTCCCTACTCCCAGTTCCGTAGCAGAATTGTGGAGGTGGAGTCGGTGGTGTCGCCATCTGTCGTAAGGAATTCCAACCTGTCTCACAGGCGGGAATTTCACCGAGCTAAATCATACTGTCACCTATATGGTGCTCAAGGCTAAGGCCAACGACTGGCGTAGCCACGATGAATTTCTTGGGCCTCGATCTGACACTATCAGACAGATGGCATAGCAACAACCACACCATTAGTTGTGCGCAACGCATCTAGTCTGTACTAGATTTCTAGCCACATTTTATGATGCATTGTAGGATCAACATTCTGAATGGCTACTGTAATTTGACTATTCATTTCATCAGTGTCACTGATTGAACATTGGTACACATTGTTTTTCACGTATACCTAAAAGAAGAATTCCAAATGTGTATGTCTAGAGATCTGGTTGGCCACGAAATTAGATTTCCTCTTTCCATCCATGTCGCCCTGAGAACTTTTTCTCACTTCCAATCTCTGGTGTGGTGGCACTCCATTTACACTGTACGTGTGTTTCAAATTTAAATTCGATAAACCGTGTAACAACTTGCGCTTGTTCGTATGGTGAAGACATTTTGAGAATGTTGAAAATCGGGAAGTTGTGCCATCTAGTTTGCGTTTCATAAAATAGAAACTGTTTGTTTGTTTTTAATTCATTTTTGAAAGAGTGTAGTCATACTTTTCGGTCACCCTATATATTTTTTTATAAAAATGTAAATATATTTGTTGTTAGATTTTATTAATGGAATTACTTTGACGGTTTTAATTTCAGTATGCTGTTTAAGCATTTTATGTGTTATTTAGCTTCTGAATATGTTTCTTTTTTTTGCAGTGAAATTTCTATACTTAATTGATCAGAAATCAATTCGTTGAACCGCCGAAAAGTCTGCATTTGGAATCTTCAGCTTCTACGGTAAGCATGATTATTTGAGTACTTGATTTCTTTTTGGATCATTATTGGAAAAATCGGTGACTAATTCCTGATTCCAGATTGGTACTTGTGTATTATCACGCTTTCGTCGCATTGGCGATGTTTGGCGGCTTTTTCGTTGGCGAAAGATTTATAAAGCTGAAAGTGTGTGAACACAGTAAACTGACACTTTGTGATTCTTTTTCGAATAGATACACATTTAAAAACAGCATACACTATAATTTTAGTAGGAGAAAAGCGACTCATTCATCACAAGAACTACTGGATTTGGTGGGCATTATTCTTTTGTTCAGTTTAGATCCTCTAACTACTGGCTTTTTGGAAGTCGTTCTCAAGGACTGAGAGAGTTATGGTTGTGTAGATTCCCGTTTTTGAATTGTTAGGCTTATGGGCTTGAAATTTAACACTCTCTAATGTTCAGGGCCACTAAGAACATGATTAGCAGAAATTGACTCTTTGGGGTGGGAAAGAGGTCTAGGGTGTGTAATATATAAAAGTTTCTCGTTTTTGAACTATTAGAACTATAGATTTGGAATTCGCTGTAGACACGTTTTTTTATTGAGTAGAGATCCTCAGAGAACGGGTTTTGAAAAAAATCTATCCCTAAGGAGTCGAGAGGGCGTTATAAGAAAAAATTTCCGTTTTCAATTATTACACTACAGACTTGGCACACAAGTATGTTTTTTGTTGTTGAGTAGAGATCCGTTAAGAACGGGTTTTGCAGTAACTCCCAAGGAGTCACGGGAAGTACAAAATAAATATAATTTGAGTTTTAGAAATTTATATCCTGATCATTTTACATCAAGAGGTGATGACTGTAAGAATGTTTTTTTTTAAATACAATTGGAAGCTTTATATTAGAATTTAAGTATTAATAACCCCAAAACAATATGTGATCGTAAAAAATTATGAAATCCTCAGTGAAGCGGGTGGGTAACGGCTTGTTGCTTGTTCCCGTATGTAAATCACGGCTATGGTAGCTTAGTGGTTTAGGTCACGAAATCGTGGCCAATGTCTCGTAAGTTTGAGCCCTGGTGCCACTGAAGACGTCGTGTAGAGGGGCTGATGCATATTAAAACTGTCGAGGCTCAAATTTGTTCCTTTGGAGTAGTTTGGAGAGGAAGGTATCCTATCAGGTGTTGTCGGCGTCACTTGATCGTGGTTCAGAATTACGAGGTCCATTGCCAATAGCCGTTTTGCTTTATAGGGCGATATATACCCACGAAACTCACGATTAGTATGTCATGTGTAATTGTTTGCTTTGGAGAGGAAATGCTTGCTGTGAGGTATCGTCCTCTCGTCACTTATCCATGGTTCAAAATGATTAGATCCAATTCCAATAGCCTTTGTGTAGCCTTATAAAGCGAAAAAGTTCCCGAGTTTAAAGTTGCAGGGAGCTACTGAGCAGAATTCAGACAAAGGTTTCTTTCCAGTGGGTGCCATCTCATTGGGGCATTTGGAGAAATGAGATGGTGGACTTATTTGCAAAAAGGCATGGATGCTCTTTAAAGGTCTTCGAAAGACCTGACTACCAAACTTGAAATTAATAAGATGTATAGAAAATGCTTTCGTAGTGCAGCTGCCACAGTGCTACTAAAAATGAATTTATTAAAACATTTCTGTGTGTCGGACTATCCTCGTGTTACTACCGTGGCTGAATTTAGACCATTGACTGGACATGACGACCTTTGTGCTCAATTGCATTTCGTTTTAATCTGACTGTCTCTCCTTTATGCGTTTAGTGTGATTCTGGACAAATCATAAACACTGGTTATTTGGACGTGTGCTCTGCACTTAAGAATTTGAACTGTGTTGTAAAAAAAGTATTGGAGAGCTCGTCGCCTAATGACTTGACGGTCATTGGCCAGGCTGATAAGTTTTATTCTTATTTTTGTAAAATTTTTCATGGCAGATCATGAACAGTTACAATAGAGAACAATTTTAAAAGGGTGAAACAAAAAAGAAGCTGGAACAGAGTTTATTAATCCAACATATCTCTAGCCTCCCAGTAACTCTCGGTGAGAAACGTCTTGCGCAGAACAGGACAGCGTGGGACATGGGTCGGGAACCTTTTAGCTTTTTGTGGCTTGCAAACCAATCTGCCTATATGATTCAGCGTGCCATACAGTAGAATATTTTTGAAACAATTCGATTCCCGTGATAATGCATACAGATTTAGAGAATAGAAGTCAATAATATAGGCCTGCAGTGTTATTATTTATTAATTGTGCATCGTTTTAAGATATTCTTTAAAATAAAAAAAGTGTGTGTGTACTTATGTGCGCACGTAAGAAGTTATACTTTGGCGTAATAAGATTAAAATATTTCTAAAAATCTTTAGCAGGGCAAGCTGGGCCAGGACAGCGGTCACGAGCAGAGTTGAACGATACTAACCTTCAATCCTATTGGACCAGCCAAGCCACACAAGGATATTCACGATTTAAGTAAATTTAAGCTTACCCCGCACTGAGACAATAGGACCAATAATATGGAAGGGGTGTCGAAGGCGGGAATGATCTGCCGTTCTGCATATTTCTAGACAAAACATTTTTCAGCCGTTCCACGGAACGCTATAAAACAAGGTTCGCTGCACCGCGAAGGGTGAGGTACGAGCATTCGACTGCAGATCGAGTGGTCCCTGGTTCAAACCAGAGTCTTCTTCTTCAGGGGAAGTGAAGAGAATTTTTTGACGATTTTGGGCGGGAATGATCTGTCCCATTCTGCCTGTATATTTCCTAGACAAAGCATTTTCGTATCCGTTCCTACAGCGGAACGCAAAGCAAAGACTCTCAGACATGAGGTGTATAGCTTAGTGGTGCAGGCATTCGCCTGCAGATCAGTCCCCAGTTCAAGCCAGGTGCCCCTATTTTCAGGAAGTGAAGAGAAATAATTTTTTGAGGAAATTTCAGAAGGCAGCAATGATCTGTCTCGTTCTGTATATTTCTAGACAAAGCATTTTCGTATACGTTCCTACGGAACACCTAAAGCAAGGTTGTTCACATACGCGGGTGTATAGCTCAGTGGTAGAGCATTCGGCTGTGGGTGTCCGAGAGGGTCTCGGTTCAAACTCGAAGGTGTCCCCTTCTTCAGGGAGGTGAAGAGAAATGCTTTTCTACGAGAATCGAGAAGGCGAGAATGATTTGTCCCGTTCTGTATTTCTAGGCAAAGGATATTCGCACATCCGTGACGGTGTGCGTCACATCTGTGACGAGGTGCGCGCATTGTAAAATTACCCTCATCCTATTTTCTCTACGGGGTGCGACGGCGACTTTTGGGCGGGGTTAAAAATTTAAATTATGCATATATTATGCATTTTAAACATATTATTTACGAATTTTGTGTAAATAGTGTAAATAATTTGTATTTGGTGTTTGTACATTTATTTATATTACTCTATGTTATGTTTATTTCATGTTAAATTGTACCATTCACAAGCAATGCCATTACCTTACGTTATAATGGCGATCAATGAGGGGAGCTTGGCGAAATCTTGGCGTTAGAGCCAAGTTGGCATCATTTTTGGCGACCAGTTGGCGGCCAATTTGGCGATTTTGGTGACCAATTTGGCTTTTGGTGACCAATTTGGCGATTTTGGCGTCATTGGCGACCAATTTGGCAGGGTCAACAGCCTCGGGAATCTTCTAGAAGTAGCGAATCTCTCCACTAGTGTCGTTCAATGACACGAGCTGTTATATTTCTGGAAGTTTTCTGTCGCCTATAAATGAGATGCTCGCCGGGACGGCTTGAGTCTAGACCAAACCAGCAGTAGTGAGTTGTTTTGATTAGCTCGGCTTTGTGCTTGTGAATAATCTTTACTTACGTGTATTTTTAAACACTGTTGGCCAGTTTGATTGCTGTTGAAGGTGTGAAAACCTTTGGATATTTACTCTGTGAAATATCGCTGCTGAATCCCTGTATTTAAGGATCGGAATTTTGATAATAAATTCGCATCGCTCTTAAAGAACTGTTTATTTTCTTTGTGATTGTTTTGCATAAAATCCCCGAACCCTCGGATCTACGTAACAATATTTATTAAAATAAGAAATAAACAACAAAAAATATAAGTATTTTCCTTCATTATAGTTAAATAAAAAAAAATAAATAAAAATTTTAATGCGAATCTAGTACTTTATTTTCATATTGCAAAATCAGGTGTTCAAATTGTGACTTTCAATTTGACACGATTCTGAGCAATTTCTTTGAGGACTCGAAATATATTTTTCAAATGAATAAAAATGTTTCACTTGTTAGATATGTAGAACCAAAAGCGGAAAACGGAAAGCAGAGTACATGCAATTTTCTCTCCTTAAACAATTACATTCAATAATGAATTCAACATAATGAAATTAAATAATTTTCAAAATAGCTATAAGTTTATCTTAAGAGTTATCTTTCACACACACACACACACACACACACACACACACACACACACACACACACACACACACACACTCCACACACTCACACTCCACACTCACACACACACACACACACACACACACACACACACACACACTACAGTGATGGGCAAAATCCCCCTGAATGACTATAGTTTTCTCAAGTGATGTCATATTAAGATGATGACGACAATCCAGTATGTCCTGTGTTATGGGATTATTATCAGAAACAATAGTCAACAGAGCAGCTCTGGAATCGCTGAGGATAACAGTTCTTGTGAATTTTTCCAAGTGGCAGTACAGCTGAGACAGAGCTGTGCGAATCTCAGCAATTTCACCGTCAAGCGCAGTTCTCGGACCACAGGGACGTAGAAGGAAAAAAAATTAGGGGAAAGCATCTGCATTAAGGCTATCAGACAGGAGGGACCCATTGGTAAAGATTCGAAGCCACTCTTGTTCGGGGTAAAGAATATTAACTACTTCAAGATCGAGAGCTCTCAAAAAATCGACGGGCTCGTATTACTTTTAGTTACCTTTTGACACTAGTCAAGATTGAACCAGAACAGTTTCAAATTCATTGGATTTTTGGTGGAACGAGTAGTTCTAGTTCGCGTAATTTAAACCAAGTGAATTTTGTAAATGAAGAATTTCCTGTAGGAAGCCTGTCTGGGTCTTTAGATTTCATAAATAGCTTTAGTGCGACGTTAATATTACTCTCACTCTCATAACCTAACCGATTCCATCTTTTTCTTTCTTTCTTTTTTAGGAAAAGCTAACTAATCCCGGGGTCCCAAAAATACATAAAAGGAAATCGAAGTTCTCCATTTTGGAATATGAAGCGATTCGATCGATATCTCATTCGATGATCGAAAATGGAAAAGTTCTTAAAAAGTTTCTTCATTTGCTTCTGAACGTATTCTTCCGGTGACGGCATCTGTGATTTATGAAACTCTGTCTCGAGCGGAAAAACTCAATTTTTTCCAATGTTTTGCCTGGGTCAGGACACGGGCTTTTAACAGAGACCCAATCTGAATGATGTGCTCCGGAGGGATTCAATATTTCAGCCTCTCAACACAACCCACAGTTTTATTTGGAGGAAGAGTAAAAGTATTTTATTTTTCCTGTTCTAAACTTTTTCTGGTTTTTTTTCTTCATCTGGTTTTTAAATTATTTTAAATATCCACTCTGTAAGAAAAAAATAAACCCAACTTTTCTATTAAAGATATTGGCTTTAACGATACCAAAATGGGATTTTTTTTTGTTACTGGAATCGTTTATTTTATTGGTTTATTGGTAACTGTTTGGATTGTTTTGAATTAATGCCTCTTAGTACCATTCTTTCTAACAATAGTGTTTTTAACCGGGTTGTCGTAATATGCGCGGGGTTCTATGAATACGAGGCGTGTCCGGTTCGTTCTACCGCAACCTCAGTGGTAGTTTTGCAGTTCAACACTTGTGCACACATGTCTATGGTTTAGTCCACAGGGACGCCATTACAACCGGGTTGTGTTGTTTTTACATACGTTAGTAAACGTTCTGTTCGAACAGCACCAGCTCTTAAACTGGCATTTATGGCATTAGAACAAAGTGCTAATATAATTAACTTATGTGTAAACGAGAATACAATTAAATATTTACCTTGTTTATATATAAAGACCGACTTACAACTTAGTCTCATAGAAATTAGCAATTATAAATTTCAAAAAAAAAAGTGTGTGTGTACTTATGTGCTCACGTAAGAAGTTATACTTTGGCGAAAAGATTAAATTTTCTAAAATCTTAGCAGGCAAGCTGCCAAGGGACGAAAGGCGGTCACGAGCAGAGTTGAACGATACTAACCTTCAGTCTTTTGGACCAGCAAACCTGAGATATTCACGATTTAAATAAATTTAAACACCCCCGCACTGAGACAATAGGACCAATAATATGGGAAGGGTGTCGAAGGCGGGAATGATCTGCCCCGTTCTGCATATTTCTAGACAAAGCATTTTCGTATCCGTTCCTACGGAACGCAAAGCAAAGGTTCGCTGCCGCGAAGGTGGTAGAGCATTCGATGCAGATCGAGTGGTCCCTGGTTCAAACCCAGGAGTCTTCTTCTTCAGGGAAGTGAAGAGAATTTTTTTTGACGATTTTGAAGGGGAATGATCTGTCCCATTCTGTATATTTCTAGACAAAGCATTTTCGTATCCGTTCCTACGGAACGCAAAGCAAAGGCTCTCAGACACGGGGTGTATAGCTTAGTGGTAGAGCATTCGCCTGCAGATCGGGAAGTCCCCGGTTCAAACCCGGGTGCCCCCATTTTCAGGGAAGTGAAAATAATTTTTTGAGAATTTCGAAGGCGGCAATGATCTGTCTCGTTCTGTATATTTCTAGACAAAGAATTTTCGTATACGTTCCTACGGAACACAAAGCAAAGGTTCGCATACGCGGGTGTATAGCTCAGTGGTAGAGCATTCGGCTGTAGATCGAGAGGTCTCCGGTTCAAACTCGGGTGTCCCCTTCTTCAGGGAAGTGAAGAGAAATATTTTTCTGAGAATCGAGAAGGCGGGAATGATTTGTCCCGTTCTGTATATTTCTAGGCAAAGGATATTCGCATCCGTGACGGTGTGCGTCACATCTGTGACGAGGTGCGCGCGCATTGTAAAAATTTACCCTCATCCTATTTCTCTACCGCCCCAAAAGAAGTATAACTTCAATAAACAGCATAAAGTATAACTATTTCTTCAACAAAATTTAAAAAAATTTAAATTATGCATATATTATGCATTTTTAAACATATTGTTACGAATTTTGTGTAAATAGTGTAAATAATTTGTATTTGAGTGTTTAATGCATTTATTTATATTACTCTATGTTATGTTTATTTCATGTTAAAATTGTACCATTCACAAGCAATGCCGACCCTTACGTTATAATGGCGATCCAATGAGAACTTGGCGAAATCTTGGCGTTAGAGCCAAGTTGGCATCATTTTTGGCGACCAAGTTGGCGGCCAATTTGGCGATTTTGGTGACCAATTTGGCTTTGGTGACCATGATTTTGGCGTCATTGGCGACCAATTTGGCGAGTTCGAACCCTCGGGAATCTTCTGAAAGTGCAGAGATCTCTCCACTAGTGTCACGTTCAATGACACGAGCTGTTATATTTCTGGAAGTTTCTGTCGCGCCTATAATGAGATGCTCGCCGGGACGGCGAGGAGTCTGGATTAAACCAGCAGTAGTGAGGATTGTTTTGATTAGCTCGGCTGTGCTTGTGAATAATCTTTACTTACGTGTATTTTTAAACACTGTTATTGTGTTTGATTGCTGTGAAGGTGTGAAACCTTTGATATTTACTCTGAAATACGCTGCTGAATCCTGTATTTAAAGGATTGGATTTTGATAATAAATTCGCATCGCTCTTAAAGAACTGTTTATTTTCTTTGTGATTGTTTTGGATAAAATCCCCGAACCCTCGGATCTACGTAACAATATTTAAAAAAAAAGAAATAAAACAAAAAAAAAATATAAGTTTTTTTTCCCCTTCATTATAGTTAAAAAAAAAAAATAAAAAAAAAAATTTTAATGCGAATCTAGTATTTTTATTTTCATATTGTAAAATGTTCAAATTGTGACTTTTAATTTTGGGACACATTCTGAGCAATTTCTTTGAGGACTCGAAATATATTTTTCAAAAGGGAAAAA